GTATTTAAATATTTTGAGAATGGAGGTATCAAACGGTGAGTTTATGAACCTCCCAGGCTGCAGGTGAAGAGGGTAGATGAAAGGAACCGTGTTAATGCAACAATGTTAGATGGTTTTGTTAGTTTTGTGATGGGGCTCACCTTGCTAGTGATCCTCTGTTGGTTCTGGTATGTTCCGACGCACCGTATAAAACAAAAGAAAAAGATTTTTCTTTGGCTTTTTCCTTCTTGTTAAATGACTGTTCACGGTGGCTCTCCTGGTCGGTCTGCTACCAAATTTGCTGCCACGTGGGTCTCCAATATTTAATAACACGACGTTTACTTCAAGATTGACAATACAACACGCCAATTAGCCTCGAACTTGGGTAATTGAACCCTTTATATAATATGAGAAACAGTGTGAAAACGCCACTTCATCGAAAAAAACAAAACCAATCAAAAAATCAACATAAAACAAAAAGGGGATCACTCCTTCCTTCTTCCTGTTCGTGCGTGGACTTTCTTATGTAGCCTGCTCCAGCGGGTTATCATTCTCTGCTTTATCTTCTTCGTCGGGTTTAAAGCTGGAGGTGTCGGGACCGGGCCCTCTTTTTCAGTATCTTCTTGATAAGTCATATCGGTTGCTCCAGGGATTTCTGGAAATGTTTTATCTTCATCTTCCGGCGACAGCAAAGTTAGACCGTTTTGAAGTGCAAAAAGGAACACGATTCACGCTGGACATAGTCATGTTTATGTGCTTGTAGTTTTGTTTATTCGCAACGGATTTCCTCATTTCTAATTCTTTTGAGAATGTGTCTCCTGAAGATTTAGAATAATATCGGAACGCTTCGCTTACATTACCAAGTTTTATTATAGATTAAAATAAAAACAAAAATTCGAAAATTGGGAACGTTTTTTCTAAAAAAACGGGTATTTTAAGTTTTTTCAAAAAGACACGAATTTCGCATAACATGTAAAAATAGATGTGAAAATTAAAAGTTGGAAGGCGCTGTCTTTTTGGCGCCATGAGTCACAGTGCGATTCGTGCCAGCGGACTGGAAAGAACTACTGATTGAAGCAGCATTTGGCGCCTTTGTGGGTGATACTATCTCTGTTTCAACTAAGATTTTATCACTTATAATGATTTATTTGATTTTTATGAAGCTCTTCAAGTTGACTACTTCAGTGACGAATAAGTAGTTAAAATTAGTTACTTTTAAATTTTTTTTTGGGAGAAATTACTGTTATGACTACTTTTTCGGTCTGTATCGCTTTGCTTGTTTATTGAACCTTTCTTACCCAAATATATCACACACAATGCTGTTGTTTGACTGCGGATGTTGTTTTGCTATTTTTGTTCTCGTCGCTTTATAGTATAATGCGGCGAAATTTTTTTACTTTTGACTGGTGAATTTACGCGAAAACGCGGTGGTGGAAGTGCTCCATGCCATCCATATTCGTGTAAAAATGCTGGATTCGCTAGCATTTGTTTTCTTGTGTCCGGATCGTATTTGTAAAGGTCATTTTGAGTTAGGATTTAGACTGAAAGTGTTCTTTTATGACAGCCATCGTTGCTGTTCTTCTCAACATGCCTCTCAGCCTCAAATTGATGCACGGCTGCGAAATGACAGAAAAACAATATTCGGTTTCAAAAAAAACAGTGCTAAGTGTGGAAAATTCGAGTAAGAGGAGTTCACTTAGCAAGTAAAAGGATACGAACCGGAAAAGTGATCATAATGGCATTTTTTTTGAAAAAACTTTGCAAAATTGTTTGAAAGTAATCAAATTTTAACTAATTATCCGTCAATGAACTAGTGAAGTTGAAGAGTTTTGTAAGACCAAGTAATAAAATTTTAATTGAAACAGAGACTCTGCCACCTGCGAAAGCGCCAAAATGCTGCTTCAATTAATAGTTTTTTCCAGTCTGCTGTAACTAATCGTACCGTAACTCTTGATGCAGAAAAGATATCACCTTCCACCCTCTTCACAACTTTTAATTTTTACATCTATTTTTACATGTTCTGCAAGAATCATCTCTTTTAAAGATTTTTTTTTTTGAAAAACTTGAAACGTCCGTTTTTGAGAAAAAACGTTCTCAACTTTCGTTTTTATTTTAATCTGCGATAAAATTTGGTGATTTAAGCGAAGCGTTCCGCAGTCTGCAGAAGACAGGCTCTCAAAAGAATTAGAAGCTAGAAAATCTGTTGCGATTAGGGAAAACTACAAGTTTTAAGAGATGACCAATTCCAGGGTGGACTGCAATTTTTTCGCACTTTAGAGCGGTCTAGCTTAGCACACTTTTTGAGGTAATATACTTTGGTTCGCTGGTTCAACATCTGGTATCAAGTGCTTCGACTAGATAGTGAACGAGAAAAATCTGACGAGTCGACCGGCAAAAGCATGCGATTTGACATGGCATTATGTATGTATATCGGCCAATCCATGCCAAATCGCTCACTTTTTTCCCTTCATATCTCAAGTTTTCTTTAAATTTTGCTGATTAATAGAGTCTAGGCCAGCATAAAGAAAGCCGAAAAAACCTGGAAAAGTGGATTCCCCACCAAGTTACACCCCCTCAAAGTTGCAGAATTTGCCAGGTTACCACTTGACGTGCCTCTCTTTACAGACTTGTAATTTAGCTCGTTCTGAATAAAATTTGTTGCTTTTTTAATTTTTAGATGTGCATGCTTGAAGTTTTGAATGCTTATTTGTACTTTCAATTCTGTTAAAAAATCATATAAATAGAATAAAAACAAAATTTCAAACAAACATGAAAAAATCAGTTTTGAATTTTTTAAAAAAGAGACGTTTTGTGCAAAATTTTTTGCTCTAAAACATATCGAAATTTGGAGATGGCGACTTTTCGATATCAGGAGCTACGGGCCGGAATAGGACGTAAAGCTGAAAAAAACTACTATTTTTGCAGTAATCCTCATGTATTTTACAATGGCGAAACCATCCCGAGCCGCTTTTAAAGGCCGCAGCGGGCAGCTGCAAATATCCAGTATTCTTCGAACGTTAAAAATTTGCTACCAAAGTTGTACTTTACTATAATAATATTAACAAATTATTATTCCGCAGAATTTTAAGAGGTAGTTTTAAAAATGAAAAATAAAAAAAATAAATGAGAGCGAAGCCATATGCGGTGAACGAAGAAGAGCAAGAATTTGCCAGGGAAGATAAATTTGTTCTCTTAGCCTTTTTTGTCCGCTTTCACAATAACCGAAGTGGTACCATTAACAACATCTACTTTGTGAACAATATGTGCTCATTTGTGCACAACGAAATTGCTTAATTCATGTGTAGTAAAGATAACGTGCCTGCATTGAAAGACTTAGTGCGCGACAAAACACCCGCAGAGTTTAAGGCCTGGACCTCACTCTGCCCGCACATTAGTCCGCCTAAAAAATCTACTGAGCCCCATAAACAAGCTCGTCAAGTACCGTATAAGAAAAAGGGATACCTTCCATCTGGAAGTTTGATTGCTTAAAGTCACTCCTTGGGTAAACGCTAAACGCAGCACCCCCATGCAACAACGCGTCGTTTTGCGCATTCACCACGAAATCAGAAGAAAGCCGAATTAAAGGGAAGTAACCCTTGATGGCATGAGAAGCAGAGATTCTTCCGGGTTTGTTCGCCGTTGTGCGGTGGCAACGCACGGGGCATCGCCACTAAACAAACATTCCATTTTCTTTTTCGTTACGGCCCATGCTTCCATGCTTTGGAGCCTTCCATTGCCTACAGGCGCCGGACTATCACGCCTATTTTGTCTACAAGCCACAACTCCATACACCAAAAACCAGTCATTGTCTCCGGTACTCGGCATTGATCTTTGCAACTTAGTCAAGTGAATCTAAATTAGTTCAAACGTACATAGCGTTCTAAACATTTTTGCCGGTTCGGCCAACGAGATACTTTTTAGAATTCGAGGAGGATAACATAAAAGACTTTTTCCAGGTGCTGCTGCTTGGACTACAGGAGTACTCAGCTTAACAGCATAGTCACGTCAGCAGCATTGTCAGTCTGCAGTAGTTCTCTATATACATTCATCTCGCTCTTGTGACGTTGCTATGCCTTTCTCTAAGAAAATCCCAACCCCCATACCCTAACCAAAATCTAAAATTAACAAGACACTTAGGGTACGCTTCAGTATGACCGGTGAATTAGCAAATACATAAGGAATATTTACTTCATCTGTCTTAGCTAGGATTTTTCGTGCAACAATGCTATCAAAAGGATCAATAAACCTCCCAACTTCTTAGTGCATATCAAGTTAGACGTTACTGCTGAGTGACGAAAAAAAAAAATCGACTTCGAACGATTTTGAAGAGTTGTTACTATTGATGCTGCTGCCTTGTGATGCATTTAAATAAATCGCACGACCGATGCAATAAGAACAGTCTTACAAAAAATGTCATTTTTTTCAGCAACAAATAATTACAGAGAGCACTAAAAACTAACGACAAAAAAAATTTTTTTTTTAATAGAAATGTACAACGAACTGTGTACGCCAACAAACAAAAAAAAGGACAAGATAAGAAAATGAAACATTTAAGTCGGCAATCATAGAGAAAATATTATCTATTACAAATCAAATATAATAGTTGCTCAATAGACTTATGCGCAACTGTGGCCTGTCTGCCCCCATAATATCCAAATGCCTTCCATATATTTTTTCTAGAAGTGAAATGCCTAACACAAAGGCCTAGCTAAACAAGCAATGTACCTAACACTTCCTTCACTCATTTCTCGTCCCCTTCACTCCAAAATTCTCATACTAGAAAAAATTCACCAAGAACACACCAACTACTCAATCGACGATAAAGTAAATTGAAAAGCTGTCAGACCGGGAACAAAAGAACAGTTAGGAAAAACAAAACCACAAAACGCTTAAAGCAAATACAAACAGCGTTATCCGCTATTTACAACACGATACATAAAAAAGCGTAAAGGAGAAACTTTGAAGAATTAAAAAACAAACAATTTGTTTTTTTACACAGGCCAAAAAACCGAAAGAAAAACAAAACTTTAATCCAACATATTATAAAAACGGAGAACTGTATCTTCTCTTCTCATTATGTAAAGACGACACCACAATACCAAAAATAACAAATTTCTTGAACAGAAATAAAACTGATGATGAAGACGAATGATTGTTGGTAGCTTAAGATATCCTAAAAAATCTATCTTTGTAAAACGTTAAATTGAGATACAAGTGCCAAATGGCATATGACGATTATTAACAAATCGCAATAACTATCTAACTTTATACAACTTAGCGAAAAGCAATCTCAAAGAATTTCTTATGTAAAGAGTAAAAGAAAAATCAAAAAAACAGACTTTTAGAGAAACAAAACCGCAGATGATGGGCGGTACATTTATTTCGGTTGCCTGACCTCTTCTGCTACAAAACACTAGACGCTATTTAAACTGCTATCATAAATCAAAAAAATACCTAAACTTAAAACCTCGAAAATGAAGACTGGAAAAAACTAACAGCTGGCCATTAAAACGAAGAAGAAACTAACACTACTTTAACCTAAAACAAAAAAAACTTGTATTATTTTCAACTAACGTTGGTCTACAAACCAATTAACTTAAAAAAAGTAGATATTATTAAACTAATAAAGAAAAACTTGAGGTAGAAGTAAAAATATGCTGTATAAGGGACACAACGTTATAAACAAGGAATAGGTTTCAAACAATAGAAATCTAAATACACGACTTTAAACCGAATCGGGAACGTAATTAAGAAAAAAGAAAGATTTCAGACTCTGCAAATACCGACACTTACGATAACTGAACAAAAAGAAGAGGCGAGGTTCGTTCGCAAAAATAGTACTCCCTTTCCAGTAGACTTGTTTTTAAACGACAACGTTACTGATTCAAAATGTGCACATTCACTTCCTTCCAGAACTAAAATTTACCCCCTAACAGCACTCTACATGCAAGAATGAGCCTCTTCCAAAGTCGCTGAAGAGTCCAAATATGGCGCCGCTAAACCCGTCAAAACAATGCGCGCATGATGCTTAGCTACAAAATTCAAAAGATAACAAAATTTCTAAAAGAAAGATTGTACAGAAATGCGAATGATGACCATCGAAAAAAGAAAGGAACAAGAAAATAAACTTGTACAAAATCAATATCAAGTACTTTAATCAAAAGTTAGTTGATTCGACGTTGACTGGGAAAGTTCCTGTCGAATAACGCTTTCCATATCGCATTCCATAAAAGGCTGTTCAGGTAAAGTCAAATTTTCTAAATCCATCGGCAAGCCAGCCTGTCCTAATGTTTGCTGTGCGCAGCTGATCTGTGGACGAACACCACCAGAAATCCAATGTATACCATGATTAGATGAGGCATAAAGTCCATTATATGAGGTCATTCTGTAAATTATTTATTAATTAAGAACTAACAGATAAAAACCGAGAAAAAAATCAATAATAGTTTATGAGCAAAGTACCCCGGCTGTTGCGATCTGTGAACTATATTTGAATTAAGAAGCGGATTTTGGGAGTGCGATACGTCGCGAGCATTATTCAAGACGTGGTAGGAAGGGGGAGGCTGAACCCCATCTAGTTCGTTCTGAAACGATGAACCTCAGCTATGTATAGTTGAAAACGAATATACCAATACTAATTATTTGAAACGACGCTTCTAAATACGAAAAAAGACTACCTTTATTCCGTCGGCTGGCACTTCTGGTTTAACATGTTGCAAAAGCGGTTGCGCAGCAACCGCAGAGGTACTACTTCCACCATTCAACAGAGCACTTCCCAACGGTGGCTGATATGCTGATGCATCGGTTTGGCTTAGAGTTATCTACAAGTAAAATTGATTAACATAGAATGAACAAATAATGTATAAAAATAAAATGAAAAAATTACAAGAAAAAAATAATCTCATACTTCATTAGTCCTGTCAAGGATATCATTTGGCATTGCACTGGCTTCTACAAATGGCGGAAAATCAAAATCTTCATGGAACTCCGTATTCCCAACCGATGGTGATACGCGCGATGCAACGGAAAGATTAGACTGCGCTCGCGGCCTTAATGTAAATATTTACAAAAAAAAGTAAAACGTATACAACAGAAAAACCTAAAAAAAATATTTCTCAAATTTAATGTAGGAATTAAAAAAGTCACCGAAAAACAGTTTCGAAATTGCCAACAGGATCATCATTTTCACCAAAAAGATCATGGTTTGCTACAGACGCCTGGAAGTATTAAGAACTAGTTAATTCAAAAACCATCTCTCTAAACTGAAAAAAAGATTACTCTGCAATTCGATAGAGACTAAAAACCATATAACTTGGTATTTCAAAGCTTGACACAGACCTGTGAACTGACCAAGGACCCTGGTGTACTCTGAAGACTTCCAGTAGCACGCATTTCCAAAACCTTCTTGCGTGCACCTCTACGTTTCTTTTCCAGCGCTGCCTGGAATAAGTGGTTCAACACTAGAAAAATTCCCGCATCATCCAACCATTTATAATTTCATTTACTGCTAAAGTTGAAAAACAGAATCAGTTCTAACGATGATAAGTTCGAAGCACCTTTTTAAGGACTTAACAACAAATGAAAGACAAGAATAGCTCAACTAAGACGTGCAAATGGAATTTTAGAAAACTCGTCGCTGCAAATATAAATAACAAAAAGATTTATGAGAGATACGAAACAGATTTTTTAAAGAACTAATAATATGAAAGAAAGCAAAAACTGCGCAACAGAAAGATTCCCAAAATGCTCAAAAAAAAAAGACATGCTGCGGGCTACCTAATGTAAATATACGAGTGAGGATACTTTACTACACATCAGAAAATCCAATAGTTCAAAGAAATAAGCAATATTTTTACTCTAAACTGTCTTCTTCCAACTTCATTGCCGTCAGTTATCATATGTGAAGGAAATCACACAACAATAAGAAGATAACAAAAAAAGATCTACATATCAGTAGATCTATTATTACCTTCGTGGCGCTTTCCATCGTCGCCGCTCGCTGCCTTCGTGGATTCCTACCAGGTTTCGCATCTGGATTAATGACCCACCAGGAACTTTTCCCTGCTCCTTCATTTTGTATTCGCATAAATCTGCTGTGTAGTGATAAGTTATGACGAATAGAGTTCTAAACAAGAATGTGATTTGAAAGACATCAGTTAAATTAACAAAGTAGCACTAATGCACTATTATTTCTTCTTTGAAATATTTGATTTTTTTATACTTCTAGGCTTTTAACTTAAACAAATCAACTGGGAGCAAAAAAAAGTATGAAGTCAAATTGAGAACTGACGCGGCACTCCTTTCCCCCAATGAAACAGAATCAAATCCCGAAGAACCTTCGCCCACTAGCTGTTAGTAAATAAAATAAACTAAGCTAATAATAAAATGGCAGTTTTTTCTTCAACTAAACCAGCTTCCTGCAGCAAAAAAATCAAGATGCGAAAAAAAGGCAACAAGTCCTTAAACAACCAGAAGCAAAATGCTAGTAATTAATAAAATCAAATCCAAAACCCCGAAAGTTTCGACCTGATCAGACCGAAAGACTAAAATAGTCAATCTACACAAAAAAAGTAAGAAAAAAAATTAAGAACATCAAGCCCAGAGTATAAGTAACTAACAAAGCTGTCGTGAAAAAAAAAGTAGTAAAGACTGCTAAAAAAGATACCTTCCATCCTGCAGCTTCTTCACTACTAGATCTTTCCCGAAAATACGGAATGTTTACAGAAAACCACTGATAGATGTCACTTAATTTCATGCGCTTCTCAGGTGCAGACTCCAAAGCCCTAGCAATCAGATCTGAATAACTTTCCTCACCCCAGGGATTTGGTTTCTTTTGACATACTACATCCGAAGGCTTCCTTCGAACACGTTTCTTCTTCATTTTCAATGAACAAATGTTACCATCGGAACCAGAAAGCCCATAGAAGCCGCTGCCGTCAGGAATCGTTTCAAAATATTGCGACGAAGATGCACCACTTATTTGAGGCGAAGACGACTGCTGCTGCTGACCAAACTGGACACTGTTGTTGGTGGAAGAAGTGGTGGTGGGATACGAACTTTGACTATCTAATGTAAGTTTACTCTGGTGTTGCTGCTCATCGGCATTTGTGCAAACTGGGGAAGAAGCAGTTTTGGAACCTGACGGCAAAGTCATAGTTGCCGCTGATGACGACTGCTGTTCACGGTTTTCAAAGCAAAATCCAAACTGTTTCGCTGGCCAAGTATGGCATCTACTTCGTTCTTTCAAATTCAGTTCAACATCGTTAAGATCGGAATTCATCAGTGCACCTAATGTTAGGATACAAAAGTACAAGGCATGTAACGAAATAAAGATTTGATGTAAATCTGGTGGAGCGTAAAGTACGGTCTCAGCAAATTACACAGCGACAGTCCAGCAATGAATGGTAAAAAGTTGCGAACAGAAATTTGCAAGGAAATGTAACTGAGAAAACCGAGGAAAAAAAAAAA